TATTCTCTCTCCTTCTCTAGGGTCCTGTCTGCAGTGTGAGGTTTGCTTTGGACCAGGAACCAGCTGCTCGGGCGACCTACAGACCTGCGCCATTGGGTTTGACTCTTGTGGCATCATTGTGACAGAAACCACAATTGGTAGGTGAGCTGGACCCTACCCAGCCTGGGTGAGGGAACAGTCTGGGGAGCCAGGACACATGGGTCCTATTCTAGTCCCAGCTCCGGGAAGGACGTGGGGTGGGTGGGTCTGAGCAGTGGTTAAGGAGCCAGGACGCCTGGGTTCTATGCCAGAGCCTGTGGCTAGCTCCCCTTCGGCTCAGCATTGCGATGCTGAACCCCCAGTGGTCTCCTGGGTCAGGGGCCCAGCTTCCCCCATGGCTCATGGGGAGAGGGAGGTGCCCGAGGATGGGATCGACAAGGCAGGCACCCGCCTAAGCCAGCCAATAGGAAATGCTGAGGAGAGGGATGTGGCCTAACCCTCCTCCCCCAGGATTTCAACATCTAAGTCTGGGCTGCACAGAGGTCTGGTTGGGATCCACAGCTGGGAACCCCTCACCGGGAGTCCAGTGTCTAAACCTCATCAGTGCTTCTTTGCAAAAGACAGCCGAGGCGAAGGGGCTGTCCTGAGACCTCAGCAGCTGGGGTGCTCAGCTGGGACATGATAAAACCAGCTTCAAATCTCCCCCACTTCCACTGGTCTATGGAGCGGGTATCTCTGAAGCCGTTCCATTCAGGTTCAATATTTCAGCTTGGCAGAATTTGATTTTTACCTTGTCATCATTTTGACAATGTTGATTTTTAAGCATTTTTTAATCCATTGAATGTTCACAGTTGCAGGAAATGATGGCCAGTGGGCTGGGCGGGTTCAGACTATAATTATTTAATGGCAATAGATGATGCAATTCAAAAAGGTAAAGCTTTCTAACCTTTAAACCACAAACTCTCAACATCTCACATCAAATTATACCAAGAAAATAGCCTTCAATCAAACTCTGATACGTTCTCAAGCAGCATTTCTGCTACTTGGCCAATCTGTACATTTCAATCATCATCGATGGGAATATTGGGTCGGTTTGTGGGTGTTTGGTGAAATCAACGTTTACCAACATGTACTGAGAAAAACCTGACTCTGCCAAGCCTATAAACACTGGGACGTGAACTGGACCCTGACTGTGCCACACACTGGGGAGTGCTCTGAGCATTGGACTATTGGGCATAAGGCGGGGGGAGGAGGCATGACAAATAGCACCTCCTGCAGCTGTGTTTTGTGGGGGGTCCACCCATGTCACCCATCTGAGAGCTTGTCTCCTGGATCTGAGATAGGCAGGGGAATGCCTACTGTGTGGTCCTGCTGAGGCCTAACCATGAGCTAGGTGTCAGGTATCAAGATTTAGGCAGCTGTGTGGTTACACACCAGCAGAAACTTAGGGACTTAAGGAGCTTACGGGGTCAGGCAGCAGCTGAGCTGGGAGCTTGAGGATTGAAATGTTGGATTTTGGTGTCAAAGGTGGAAGTTAGGTGACTAAATTGCTTTGTGGGACCTCTCTCCACTGTAAAAATGGACCATTTATTCCTACCCTTTGTGTCCTGTGTTTTAACCAGTTACCAGTCCAGGAGAGGACCTTCCCTCTTATCCCATGACAGCTTATTTTGCTTGCGAGACTTTCATGAGGGACCTTGTGAAAGGCTGTCTGAAAGCCGAAGTACACTATAGCCGCTGGATCCCCCTTGTCCATGTGCTTGTTGACCCCTGTGATGGGTTGTACCCCCAGAGTGCTACTTGAACTGGGGTAGGACTGAGCCCTCTGATTCACCAGCCTGGGCTCCCTCTCACCCTGTGCTGCTGTGACAAGTTGCAGACCACTCCCGGTCCTACACTTATACCAGTATTCTCACAGGCAGGGACACACCCAGCTGCAGTTGCATGTACGCTATAATCAGCCACTGCATGAACCAACAATAGAGAGGCTACAGCCAAAATAACCCCAAGTTCCCCAGCCTAGGACCCCAGAAGTGTACTGTCCTGCCCTGGTCAAAACCCTGAATAGGATGAATTGATTACCCGGTTCACCCCTCCCTCAATGTGGAGAGGAATATGCAACAAGCCTGTGTAGACCAAGCTGAGATTTTTCTCCAGACACTTCACTCAAAGTCACACTGGTTTAGATAAAGCAAAAAACAAGTTTATTAACTACAAAAGATGGATTTTAAGTGATAAGTGACAGCAAACAGCTCAAAGCAGATTACCTAGCAAATGAACAAAACCGCAAACTACCCTAATATACTAGATAGATTGGATACACATTAGCAATTTCTCACCCTAGCTGATGATACCAGCAGTCCATACATGGGTTAGAAATCCTTTTAACCTGGGA